ATAAAGACCAGAGCAGAAATAAATAACATAGAGACTAAAAAGAAAACACAAAAGACCAATAAAACCAAGAGATGTTACTTTGAAAAGATAAACAAGATTAATGAACCTTTAGACAGACTCATGAAGAAACAGAGAGGACTCAAATAAACAAAATGAGAAATAAAAGAGGTGAAGTAACAACTTACCCCACAGAAATATAAAGGATCATAAAAAAATACTGTGAACAACTATATTCCAACAAACTTGACAACCTGGACAAAACAGACATATTCCTAGAAAAATACAATCAACCAGGAAGAATAAGAAAGCCTAAATAGGCTGATAACTACTGAAGAAATTGAAGCATTAATCAAAAAACTCCCAGTAAAAAAAAGCCCTGGTTTGGACGCCTTCACAGGGGAATTTTACCAAACATTCAAAGAAGGCTTAACACCAATCCTCCTTAAACTATTCAAAAAAAAAAAAAATTCAAGAGGAAAGAACATTTTCAAGCTCTTTTTAGAAGGCTAGCATTAGCCTAATTCCAAATAAGACACTACAAAGAAAGAGAGTTATAGGCCAATATCCCTGATGAACATAGATGCTAAAATCCTCAACAAAATTCTAGCAAATTGGATCCAGAAACACATTAAAAAGATCATATACCATGACCAAATGGGATTTATTCTGGGGATGCAAGGCTGGTATAATATTTCCAAAGCAATAACTGTAATACATCATATAAACAGACTGGAAGACAAAAATCAAATTGGTCATGAAAATTGATGCAGAAAAAATATTCAGCAAAATCCAACACCCTTTTTTTGATAAAAACTCTCAGCAAAGTGGCAATAGAGGGATCATACCTCAACATAATAAAGTCCATATATGACAAACCTACAGCCAACATCATACTCAATGGGCAAAAACTAAAACCATTTTCCCTAAGAACAGGCACAATACAGGACGTCCACTTTCACCACTCTTACTCAACATAGCACTGGAAGTCCTAGCCATAATGATCAGACAAGAAGAAGAAATAAAAGGCATCCAAATTGGAAAGGAAGAAGTAAAACTGTCATTATTCGCAGATGACATGATATACATAGAAAACCCTAAAGACTCCACCAAAAAACTACTGGATTTAATATATGAATAAGGCAACATAGCAGGATACTAAATTAACACCCAGAAATAGATGGCATTTTTATACACCAATAACTAACTCTCAAAAAGAGAAACTAAATAAACCCCCCCAAAAAACGCCAAACAAAACCCCTTTACCATTGCAACAAAAAAATTAAGATGCTTAGGAATAAACTTAACCAAGGAGGTAAAAGACCTGTACTTGGAAAACTACAGGACGTTGACAAAAGAGATAGAGGAAGATATAAACAAGTGGAAGACTATACCATGTTCATGGGTTAGAAGAATAAACATCATTAAAACGTCCATACTATTCAAAGCAATCTATAGATTCAATGCTATCCCTACTAAAATACTACTAAAGGCATATTTCATGGATCTAGAATAAACATTCCAAAAATTTATATGGAACCAAAAAAAGATCCAAATAGCTGCAGCAATCTTGATAAAAAAGACAAAGTTGGAGGAATCATAATACCAGATATCAAGTTATATACTACAAAACCACTGTACTCAAAACAACTTAGTACTGGCACAAGAACAGACATATAGATCAATGGAATTGTACAGAGAACCAAGAAATTGACCCAAGCCAGTATGCTCAATTAATATTTGAAAAGGGAGGCAAGAGCATACAATGGAGTAAAGATAGTCTCTTCAATAAATGATATTGGAAAAATTGAACAGGTACATAAAAAAAAGAAAGAAAGAAACTAGACCACTAACTTACACCATACAAAAGAAGAAAGTAAAAATGGATAAAAGACTTAAATCTAAGTTGTGAAACCATAAAAATCTTAGAAGAAACCATAAGGTGCAATATCACAGACATCTGCCTAGCTAGTGTGGCTCAGTGCTTGAGCACTGACCTGTGAACCAGGAGTTCAATACGTGGTCAGGGCACATGCCCAGTTGCAGGCTCAATCCCCAGGAGGCGTGCAGGAGGCAGCCAATCAATGATTATCTCTCATCATTGATGTTTCTATCTCTCTCTCTCCCTTCCTTTCTGAAATCAATGAAAATATACTTTTAAAAAAATCTCAGACACCTCTCATAGCAATATGTTTGTAGATACATCTCCTAGAGAGAGGGAAACTAAGAAGAAAATAAACAAATGGACTATGTAAAAATAAAAAGCTTCTGCACATCAAAAGAAACCATCAACAAAATAAAAGGAGATCCCACT